ACAGGTTAATTGTGACGTCATAGCGGGTGGGGATTAGAGAGAAGGGGTGGGGCTTCCCACCTTTAGTGTGGTAAGGTAAGGAGAAGTAACCTCAGGTATCTATTCTAGGATCACATCATAGCAGCCAACAGTCTACAACAGGGGTCTTCAAACAATGGCCCTCCAGGTGTTGAGGAACTGCAAGTCCCATGAGGCCTTGCAAGACGCTGCCAGCCACAGGCAACACTCCCAGAGGCAGAGGCATGATGGGACTTGTACATCAACAGATGGAGGGCCATAGTTTGGAGACCCCTGAGCTCTGTTTTCCTGACAGTTTCAACCACATTTATATATATGGATTTAGAGCGCATGGGGGTAAGAAAAAAACCTGCACTGTGTATATACTGTAGAGGCGTTTAACAGATGTTTGTTTTCTTTGTCAGAACATTGCTTCTCCCTCCCGATGTGATGCGGCTCAGTACCATTATTCTGGATTCACACACCTGCAAGCCTGCATTGATTCTGCCATTATAAAGGTAAAAGCCCTCCCCCCCTCTCTCCATCTCTTCTCTCCTTCTTTTGCTCTCTTCTTCTCTCCTCTCTTTCCTCTCTCTCTCCTTCTTTCCCTTTCTCCTGCTCTCCCTCTCTTCCTCTTCCCCTCCCTTCTTCTTTCTCTCTTTCGCTCCCCCCCCCCCTCTCTCTCTCTCCTGTTTTTCCTTTCTCTTTCTCTTCCACTTTCTCCTCCCTCTCTTCTTCTTCTCTCCCCCCCTCTCTCTCTCTCTCCTCCTCCCCCCCCCCCTCCTCTCTCTCTCCCTCTTCTCTCTTCTCCCTCTCTTCTTCTATCTATCTCTCTATCTCTTCTTCTCTCTTTTCTTCTCCCCCCCTCTCTCTCTCCTCTCTTCTTCTCTCTTCTTCTATCTATCTCTCTATCTCTTCTTCTCTCTATCTCTTCTTCTCTCTTTTCTTCTTCCTCCCCCCTCCCCCTCCTCTCTCCTCCCTCTCTTCTCTTTCTCCCTCCCTCTCTTCTTCTCTCCTCTCCCGCCTCTCTTATTCTTCACCCCCCCCCTCTCTCTCTCTCTCTCCCTCTCTCTCTCCCCCCTCCCTCTTTCTCCCTCTCTCTTCTTCTCTCTCTCCCTCTTTCTCCCTCTCTTCTTCTCTCTCTCCCTCTTTCTCCCTCTCTTCTTCTCTCTTCTTCCTCTCTCTTTCTCTTCCACTCCCTCTCTTCTTCTCTTTGTTTCCTTTCTGCCTCTTTTCTTCTCTTTTTCTCTTCCACTTTCCCTCATTCCTTCTTTCTTTCTCTTTTTCTCCTTATCTCTCTCTCTCTCTCTCCCCCTCTTCTTCTCTCTCTCCTTCTGCCTCTCTTCTTCTCTCTCCCTCTCTTTCTCTTCCACTTTTCTCTCCCTCTTTCTCTTTCCCTCCTCTCTCTCCCTCTCTTCTTCTCTTCTTTCTCTCTCCCTCTCTTTCTCTTCCACTTTCTCTCCCTCTTTCTCTTTCCCTCCTCCTCTCTCTCCCTCTCTCCCTCTCTTCTTCTCTCTCTTCTTCTCTCTCCCTCCCTCTCTTCTTCTCTCTCTTCTTCTCTCTCCCTCCCTCTCTTCTTCTCTCTCTCCCTCACTTTCTCCCTCCCTCTCTTCTCTCTCTCCCCCCTCTTCTTTTCTCTCTCTCTACTTCTCTCTCTCCCCTCCCTCTCTTCTTCTCCCCCCTCTCTCTTCTTCTCTCTCTCCCTCCCTCTCTTCTTCTCTCTCTTCTTCTCTCTCCCTCCCTCTCTTCTTCTCTCTCTCCCTCACTTCTCTCCTCTCTTCTCTCTCTCCCCCCTCTCTTTTCTCTCTCTCTACTTCTCTCTCCCTCCCTCTCTTCTTCTCCCCCCCCCCTCTCTCTTCTTCTCTCTCTCCCTCTCCTCTCTCTCTCTCTCTCTCCCTTTCTTCTCTCTCCCTCCCTCTCTTCTCTCTCTCTTCTCTTCTCTCTCTCTCTCTCTCTCTCTCCCTCTCTTTCTCTCTCCCCTTCTCTTCTTCTCTCTCTCCCTCTCTTCTTCACTCTCTCCCTCTCTTCTTCTCTCCCTTCCTCTCTTCTTCACTCTCTCCCCCTTCTTCTTCTCTCTCTCCCTCTCTTCTTCTCTCTCTCCCTCTCTCCTTCTCTTCTTCTCTCCCTCCCTCTCTTCTTCTCTCCCTCCCCTCTCTTCTTCTCTCCCTCCCTCTCTTCTTCTCTCTCTCCCCTCTCTTCTCTCTCTCCCTCTCTTCTTCTCTCCCTCTCTTCTTCTCTCCCTCCCTCTCTTCTTCTCTCTCTCCCTCTCTTCTTCCCCCTCCCCCCTCTCTCTCCCCCCTCTCTTCTTCCCCCTCCCCCCTCTCTCTCCCCCCCTCTCTTCTTCTCTCTCTCTCTCCCTCCCTTCTCTCTCTACCTCTCTTTGTCTCTCCCTCCTTCTCTCTTTCTCTTTTTTTCTCCTTCTCTCTCTCATCTTCTTGCCCTCTCTCCCTCTGGCTATGTCTTCTTCTCTCCCTCTGGCTATCTCTTCTTCTTGCTCCCTTTCTTCTCTCTCTCTTCCTCTTTCCCTCTCTCCTTTTTTCATTTCTCTCGTTCTCCTCCTCTCCCTCTGGCCCTCTCTCCTTCTCTCACGATCTATTTCTACATTTTCTCTAAACATAAAGCAATAACAAAAAGAACACAGGTACAGAGACTGGTAATAAGGCTCTGTACGGTATTTGTGCTTACCTTTATGAACACCCTGCCATCAGATTCCCCTTAGATTTGCTAAACATGCCTCTCCATTCCCAGCATGGGGAAGTATTGTCTTTTAATTCCCACCGTGATGTCAGCTCATTAATTCCGTCATCCCAATTACTTGCCATACATTGGCCAACATCCTGGTATTTCCAGTCACCTTTGAAATGCCCAACCAACCAGATCAAGGCGACCTTCGATTCCCAGGTTTTAATACGGATATAAAACAAAAAAACAACTGCTGCTGGAAGGTTACATTGTTGCATTCTTCCAGTGAGAAGCTGGTAAGCAAAGGCTGAAATTGCCACATAAAATCTGAGGGGTGTTTTTTTTTTTAAATTGCAAAGATGTTTGTTCTGTAAACCTTCACGTACATAAATTCTATATTATTAGGCTATTTTCCTTCCAGATTAAATGGTTTTTTTTTTTTATTTTAATGGAGTGAATCAGGAAAATACCCCATCATGGAGCTGAAAGTCACAGTAAATATTTGTTTCCTATTATCAGCAGCGCCATCTAGTGGCCATATTGTGGTGCGTTTCTGATTCACTCTATTCTCACTTTAGAACATCCGACCTGGAGAGAGAATAGCTTAATAACATTCATTTTTACCAGCATTCATGCAGAAAGAGTGTACTTGCAGTTTCACAGGGTGAATAGGTCTGCAAATTATTTTTATAACTATTTTATTTATTTTATTTCAGGTACTTATATCACGCCATCAGTTTACGCAGCACTTTACATATATATTGTACATTCACATCAGTCCCTAACCCTCAAGGGGTGTACAATCTAAGGTCCCTAAATCACATTTGTACATACACATACTAGGGCCAATTAACCTACCAGCATGTCTTTGGAGTGTGGGAGGAAATGAGAGCAAACCCATGCAGGCACAGGGAGAACATGCAAACTCCAGGCAGGTGGTGCTGTGGTTGGGATCCAAACCAACAACATTAGTACTGCCAGGCGGGAGTGCTAACCAATTAGCCACTGTGCTGCCCTACACCCCCGTAGTGTGTGGCCAGCATACTGTATAGTATAATCTGATCTCGCCAACATTGGCCATAGAGCTGTTCTGCTCAGTTCTGGATTTCAAGAGCTTTTGCAATGGAAGTGCATGTTTTTGCCATTTCCAGGTAGAAGCACAGCTCCCTCAATTGGTAACCTTTTGTGAGAGAGGGACACTGGTTATCCCACCAGAGAGTCCATTCAGGAAGCTACAGAGTGTCTGCCTATATAGCTGTAGAAGGACAATAGATTGTAAGCTCCTTTGGTGCAGAGGCTGGAGTGTTCAGCTCTCTGGGAAGCGATTCATACTTTGTCATTCCTTCGTATTTCATACAGAAAATGACTCACGTTATATTTATGATTGATTTCAGCTGAAGACCAATCACTCGGCCTGGAGGGAACTGACGAGGACAAAGGTGATGATAATGGAGAAGCTGCCGATGGTTGAAGTGGACAGCTACTACCATGCCCTCATGTCCATATGCCTTGCCATGGCCTTCTTGCCATTTGGCTGCTCGCCGGCCGCCTATATTGTCGCTGAAAAAGAAAAAAAGCTGAAAGAGTTTATGAAGATACTGGGGCTCCATGACACGGCGTTCTGGTACGAGGATTTATATCTCCCTGTCTGTCCTGTGCATGTTCAGGATGTACCGGTAGGGTGGATCCATAAGGGGCAATTAGACTGTGCACTTTGAAAGTTCAGTAGCACTCTGCAAGGGACATTGCTTCAGAGCAGGATTTCTCAACCAGGGTCCCTTCAGAGGTTGCTAGGGGTTCCTTGAACCAATGTAAGGGATATTCTCCTTGCTGACCACCAATGTAAGGGACATTCTTCCCACTGACCCCCAATGTAAGGGACATTCTTCTCACTGACCCCCAATTTAAGGGACATTCTTCCCACTGACCCCCAATGTAAGGGGCATTCTTCCCACTGATCACCAATGTAAGGGACATTCTTCCCACTGACCCCCAATGTAAGGGACATTCTTCCCACTGACCCCCAATGTAAGGGACATTCTTCCCACTGACCCCCAATGTAAGGGGCATTCTTCCCACTGATCACCAATGTAAGGGACATTCTTCCCACTGACCCCCAATGTAAGGAACATTCTTCCCACTGACCCCCAATGTAAGGGACATTCTTCCCACTGACCCCCCATGTAAGGGGCATTCTTCCCACTGACCCCCAATGTAAGGGGCATTCTTCCCACTGACCCCCAATGTAAGGGACATTCTTCCCACTGATCACCAGTGTAAGGAACATTCTTCTCACTGACCACCAATGTAAGGGACCTTCTTCCCACTGACCACCAATGTAAGGGACATTCTTCCCACTGATCACCAATGTAAGGGACATTCTTCCCACTGACCCCCCAATGTAAGGGACATTCTTCCCACTGACCACCAATGTAAGGGACATTCTTCCCACTGATCACCAATGTAAGGGACCTTCTTCCCACTGACCTCCAATGTAAGGGACATTCTTCCCACTGACCACCAATGTAAGGGACATTCTTCCCACTGATCACCAATGTAAGGGGCATTCTTCCCACTGATCACCAATATAAGGGACCTTCTTCCCACTGACCACCAATGTAAGGGACATTCTTCCCACTGACCACCAATGTAAGGGACATTCTTCCCACTGACCACCAATGTAAGGGACCTTCTTCCCACTGACCACCAATGTAAGGGACATTCTTCCCACTGATCACCAATGTAAGGGACATTCTTCCTACTGATCACCAATGTAAGGGACATTCTTCCCACTGATCACCAATGTAAGGGACATTCTTCCCACTGATCACCAATGTAAGGGACATTCTTCCCACTGATCACCAATGTAAGGGACATTCTTCCCACTGATCACCAATGTAAGGGACATTCTTCACACTGACCACCAATGTAAGGGATGTTCTTCCCACTGACCACCAATGTAAGGGACATTCTTCCCACTGACCATCACAGTAATATATCATGAGTTGTAGACATAGTAACTTTTAACAGGTGTTCCCTGAGACCAGAAGGTTATTTCAAGGTTTCCTCCATGTTGAAATGGTTGAGAAAGGCTTCTCCAAAGCTTAGTAAATGAGGGAAATCTCTGCTGACTTCTATCATCCATTCATGTGCAAGCAAAATCATTTTTTTAATTTCCCTTGCATGTGATTGGGTGTTCGTTGCAAACTAACGCTACATCTCATTTACCAAGCTCATGTCCGGATCTGAGGCTGTACTGCCCTAATCTGACACCTCCCCAGTCTGACACTATACTCATCTCAGTTTGGCGTTGTGTGGGGAGAAGGAGCTTGCTGCCTGCCAGCAGTGAGCCCTGTACCTTGTCCTGCCAGTAGTGACTCCTGTCCTCTGTCCTGCCAGCAGTGAGCCCTGTCCTCTGTCCTGCCAGCAGTGACCCCTGTCCTTTTCCCTGCCAGCAGTGACCCCTGTCCTCTGCCCTGCCAGCAGTGACCCCTGTCCTCTGTCCTGCCAGCAGTGTCCCCTGTCCTCTGTCCTGCCAGCAGTGACCCCTGTCCTTTTCCCTGCCAGCAGTGTCCCCTGTCCTCTGTCCTGCCAGCAGTGACCCCTGTCCTCTGTCCTACCAGTAGTGACCCCTGTCCTCTGTCCTACCAATAGTGGCCCCTGTCCTCTGCTCTGCCAGCAGTGACCCCTGTCCTCTGTCCTGCCAGCAGTGAGCCCTGTCCTCTGTCCTGCCAGCAGTGAGCCCTGTCCTCTGTCCTGCCAGTAGTGAGTCCTGTCCTCTGTCCTGCCAGTAGTGAGTCCTGTCCTCCACCCTGCTGACCCCTGTCTTCAGCTCTGCTGACCTCTATGCACTGCCCTACAAACTATTGGTCTCTGTACACTGCCTAAAAACTGTTGACCCTATCCTGTGCCCTGCTGACCCCCTGTACACTGCCCTGCTGACCCCCTAGACAACTCCCTGCTGACCCCATGTACACTGCCCCGCTGACCCCCTGTACACTGCCCTGCTGACCCCCTGTACAACTCCCTGCTGACCCCCTGTACACTGCCCTGCTGACCCCCTGTACAACTCCCTGCTGACCCCCTGTACAACTCCCTGCTGACCCCCTGTACAACTCCCTGCTGACCACCTTTACACTGCCCTGCTGACCCCCTGTACACTGCCCTGCTGACCCCCTGTACAACTCCCTGCTGACCCCCTGTACACCGCCCTGTTGACCCCCTTTACACTGCCCTGCTGACCCCCTGTACACTGCCCTGCTGACCCCCTGTACACTGCCCTGCTGACCCCCTGTACACTGCCTGCTGACCTTGCATCCTCTGCCCCCTGACATTTTTTACTGCACCCCCACACCTCACAGGCTGGGCCTGGCTCTGGCTCTGAACCAACTGCCCTTGCAAAGTGCACAGTCTGCCTGTAGTAATTTGTATCACCTCTGTGTCCATCCTTCTCACATATACAGTGTATCAGATGTAGTTCTGTGTCTTGTACCGGGTTAGCCATCCATTTATGTAGACAGTTTAGGTGATACTTTTACTGGCAAGCTCTCGGGATCTGCTAAGCCCCCTTCACATGGGAACTGTAGATGTACTTGTGGTGTTCTAATGAGTAAAGTTGCAGTGTCTGCATCCCTTTAAAGTGGTAAAAAGGAACAACATTTTTTACCTTAATGCATGCCCTGTATTAAGGGGAAAAAAATGTCCCATTTGTTGTACCGCCCCCTCACCTCCTTTATACATACCTGAGCCCTCTCTCAATCCAGTGGTTCTGGTCTCTCTCCTCTTACAGGATAGAGAGCCAGCAGCGGTAGCCATTGGCTAATGCTGCTGTCAATCAAATCCTGTGAGGAGGGACTGGTAGGGGCTGAGCCATGCTGTGTGTGTCAATGGATGCACACAGCTTGACTTGGGAGCAAGCACACAGATTGCACCACCATAGGAAACGGCTTGCTAGGGTGGCCCATGGAGAATAGAAGGAGCCTAGAGTGCCAGCCGGGGACCCCAGAAGAGGAGGTTCAGAGATGCTGTTTTTTTATATTTAATATATACTGTATTTAGTATATAATACAGGTTCTTTCTGTCCTGCGTCCCTTCCAGGCTCCCGTGGGTTCTGCTGTACACCGTTTTCATTCTGCTGGTCTCTTTACTGATGGCGTGTATCACCACCAGCCTGACTCCATTCAGTCACAGCAACTGGTTCTTGGTCTTTCTGCTCTATGCCCTCTATGGAATATCTCTGGTGAGTACAGCACTAAAGTGGAACCGAGACATTGTATTTAAACAAAATATGTTCTTCAACACTTAATTATAGGTCCATCTGGACTTACAGTTTTCTGCCAAGTCCCACAAATCCCTGTTGATCCTGCCAGTCCCTGTTGATCCTGCCAGTGAATACAGCTTCCTGTGGTGAGGTGACAACAATGCTGCACCGCTCCTGAATTCAGTGCAGAGTTGTCACTCTTATGTAAGCTGTGCCTGCTTGCACTGCAGTCGGAGGAGAAGATGTTGCGGGGGGGGGAGATATCAGCATTGTCACCAGAGGCGTATTTACCACAAGGCATTTGCCTAGGGTGGCATTTTTCAGGGGGGCAGCACAGCCCCTCTAGAAAATGGGATGGAAGAGGGGACACATGCTGCTTGGGGACCTGGTGGGAACTGAGAGAGGCTGCGGGCTGCTTGACTCTCGTTCCCGGGGATGTCCAGAGCTGTGAAGGTGAGTGTCTTTATCTCTCTCTCACTGGGAGGGGAGTAGCCGGTGTATGGGGGCGATGGTAGTGGAAGGCTCTCTCGGGTGGGTTGGGGTCCAGGGTTGTTGTTGGTCAATTTCAGGCTCTCTCAAGTGCATGGGGGTCCAGGGGTATTGTTGGTCAATTTCAGGCTCTCTCGGGTGCGTGGGGATCCAGGGGGATTGTTGGTCAATTTCAGGCTCTCTCAGGTGGGTGGGGGTCCAGGGGTATCGTTGGTCAATTTCAGGCTCTCTCAGGCGGGTGGGGGTCCAGGGGTATTGGTCAAGTTCAGGCTCTCTCGGTTGGGTGGGGGTCCAGGGGTATTGTTGGTCAATTTCAGGCTCTATCGGGTGGGTGGGGGTCCAGGGGTATTGTTGGTCAATTTCAGGCTCTCTCGAATGGGTGGGGGTCCAGGGGTATTGTTGGTCAATTTCAGGCTCTCTCGGATGGGTGGAGGTCCAGGGGTGTTGTTGGTCAATTTCAGGCTCTCTCGGGTGGGTGTCCAGGGGTGTTGTTGGTCAATTTCAGGCTCTCTTGGGTGGGTGGGGGTCCAGGGGTATTGTTGGTCAATTTCAGGCTCTCTCGGATGGGTGGAGGTCCAGGGGTGTTGTTGGTCAATTTCAGGCTCTCTCGGGTGGGTGTCCAGGGGTATTGTTGGTCAATTTCAGGCTCTCTCGGGTGGGTGGGGGTCCAGGGGTGTTGTTGGTCAATTTCAGGCTCTCTCGGGTGGGTGGGGGTCCAGGGGTATTGTTGGTCAATTTCAGGCTCTCTCGGGTGGGTGGGGGTCCAGGGGTATTGTTGGTCAATTTCAGGCTCTCTCGGATGGGTGTCCAGGGGTATTGTTGGTCAATTTCAGGCTCTCTCGGGTGGGTGGGGGTCCAGGGGTATTGTTGGTCAATTTCAGGCTCTCTCGGATGGGTGGAGGTCCAGGGGTGTTGTTGGTCAATTTCAGGCTCTCTCGGGTGGGTGTCCAGGGGTGTTGTTGGTCAATTTCAGGCTCTCTTGGGTGGGTGGGGGTCCAGGGGTATTGTTGGTCAATTTCAGGCTCTCTCGGGTGGGTGAAGGTCCAGGGGTATTGTTGGTCAATTTCAGGCTCTCTCGGGTGGGTGGGGGTCCAGGGGTATTGTTGGTCAATTTCAGGCTCTCTCGGGTGGGTGGGGGTCCAGGGGTATTGTTGGTCAATTTCAGGCTCTCTTGGGTGGGTGGAGGTCCAGGGGTATTGTTGGTCAATTTCAGGCTTTTTTTTCGGGTGGGTGGGGGTCCAGGGGTATTATTGGTCAATTTCAGGCTCTCTCTGGAAGGGGGGGGGGAATTTTGTGTTGCCTAGGGCAGAACAAAACCTAAATACACCACTGATTGTCAGTGCCCATTCTTTTCAATCAGCTTCTGGCCACACCCATCCCGGCCCACTGCTTTCTTGATTGACAGCATTGAAACCCTCCTACTGTGTGCTGCAGTGCCTGGAAGGTGCGGAGAGGTGTCTTAGTTTTGGATACAGCGAGAACTAGAGTTGTAGCCCCTCTCGGGTCGGTACTGCTGTCTGGGGGGCCCCGTCACTTTCTGTGGCAACATTTTACTGGACGGGAAGTGAGGCAAAATCTCCAACAGCAAGAAATAATTTATTTCTGTCTGTGTCCCTTACATCGGCAGGACAGGACGTGACGGGGAATCGCATTGACAATCCCTCTCCATCCAAAAATGGAAAAAAAACCAATGAATTGATTGGTCAGCTCTTCTTCTGTGCTGGGTTAGTGTAGATCCGATGCAGCATTATTCTTTCCCGACAGATATAGGAAGATTTAATGTATTTCCTAATGCTGAGCGGATTGTTTTGCTGCATATTATGATGAAGTGAAATGTTTCTACCGATCAATTGATGCATAGGAATCCACGGAGTCCAATAAAACGGAATGTCTGCGTTTAGTCCATCGCGCTGCCTTGATGTAAGCAAAAATCGTCTTGTGGTCCGTCTCCTCATAACGATTCTAATCTTAAAGTATTCTTCTTAAAGCTGAAGTCTAATCTGCTTATATTTTTCTTCATTCATTCCCCCCCCCCCCCCCCCCCACATCAACATTGGTGATGATATTTTTAAATAAAACTGTTCTGTTTTCATTAAATTTCTTATTGTAGACTCAGTGATGTCATCACCAAGTCTCTGTGCTTCTCTATGCAGTGCAGGCAGATCTTGGCTGGTGGGAGGGGCCAGCAGGGTGCTGTACGTAGCTTCCTGAAAACATCAGGGCACTTTACACTATGGGCATGCAGATGTATCTGGCACTTTACACTATGGGCATGCAGATGTATCTGGCACTTTACACTATGGGCATGCAGATGTATCTGGCACTTTACACTATGGTCATGCAGATGTATCTGGCACATTTACACTACAGCCATGCAGATGTATCTGGCACATTTACGCTATGGTCATGCAGATGTATCTGGCACATTTACACTACAGTCATGCAGATGTATCTGGCACATTTACACTACAGTCATGCAGATGTATCTGGCACATTTACGCTATGGTCATGCAGATGTATCTGGCACATTTACACTGTGGTCATGCAGATGTATCTGGCACATTTACACTATGGTCATGCAGATGTATCTGGCACATTTACACTATGGTCATGCAGATGTATCTGGCACATTTACACTATGGTCATGCAGATGTATCTGGCACATTTACACTACAGTCATGCAGATGTATCTGGCACATTTACACTATGGTCATGCAGATGTATCTGGCACAGTTACACTATGGTCATGCAGATGTATCTGGCACATTTACACTACAGTCATGCAGATGTATCTGGCACATTTACACTATGGTCATGCAGATGTATCTGGCACTTTACACTATGGTCATGCAGATGTATCTGGCACATTTACACTATGGTCATGCAGATGTATCTGGCACATTTACACTACAGTCATGCAGATGTATCTGGCACATTTACACTACAGTCATGCAGATGTATCTGGCACATTTACACTACAGTCATGCAGATGTATCTGGCACATTTACACTATGGTCATGCAGATGTATCTGGCACTTTACACTACAGTCATGCAGATGTATCTGGCACATTTACACTA